CAACAACAACAACAACAACAACAACAACAACAACAACAACAACAACACACCAATTATTGGATAACCCCACTGGCTGGCGCTGGCCGGCGCTGGTGGGTCTCTGCCCTTCTGAAAGGGTTATTTTTGAGGGCCGGTTTTTTAAAAAACATGGTCCTCAACCAACTGTCATCAGTCAATTGTCACACCAACTAATTGCCACCCACCAATTGTCACCAACCACCTACGCAGACTTTCTCTCTTGCTAAGTTGCTAACATGTGGGGTTGTCCGGTCCTATAATTGAATTTATAAGTTCCTCTAGAGTTTCAATGGCATCATGCGCATCATGGAACCACATGCATTTGCTGAAGGTACTGAACTGCACAGTTGCTCACTCTTGCGCTTATGCTTGTTGCTCATTGTTGCTGGCGCTTTGATTCAAGGTGAACCTTGCAACTCCACCGACGAGCTGCACTGTTCTCAAGCCAGTCGCAAGCTCAATCCACCAGAGGGGGGAGGTGGACGTACTTACGAGTTCATTACACCAATCAATGGATTTTTTCCAGCAGTTGCCCGAAGGCCTTGACTGGAATTAGGGCGAGGCTGGCTGCTGGGCAACAGTGAATCAGCATCAAACCAATCGAACACATACAAGAAAAGGCGCGCAACTGTGCATGATGCCAGCCCACTACATATGCAGAAACCAACTCTACATTTTATTTTCTCACAGAGTCCACAATGTGTCGGGGCTGAGGACACGCCATTGCTACAACTACCATCAACTACCCAAGGTTTTTGCGCATGGACAAACAGTGAAACAGCTGCCCGTCGTCGCAAAGGGCTCAGATCCGTGGACGAAGTCCTCCTCCACAAAGTGCTCCGTGGTCGCCCAGGAGAGGCGAAGCACGGGTTGTGACTTGACCAGAAATAAATATATATATTACAAAACAAAACACTGTAGACAAGAAAACATATCAAAAACGCAAAAAGGTTTAAGAAATTACTATACTTAGTGATCCCCACCCTGAGAGTAGAGGCGATTTGGAAGAAGGCAGGGCACATGCGTTGACAGACTGTCCTGAAAAACGCTGCATGACATGTGCATTGACGCAATGTTCTGACACTTGTTCCGTCGGTATGTGTTCCGCCACATCATTGATCATAAAGGCTGTCAAAGTTCTGGAAATTGCTCTAACGTCCTTGTCTTGGGGTTCGCAGCTGCGGCAGGTTAGTTGGGGTTCTCGCGCCCACCCTGTTCTGTTGAAGGCTTCCTCGTGTATCCCTCTGGGTGGGATTGAACACAACTCCGCCTCCCCGGGTCAGTTGACGCAAGTCATGCGTTCGCATCGGACTTGCCAAGCCAGCTGCTTCAGCATATTGAGAGATGGGGCACCATGGAGTCGCTCGGTCAGCTTGTTGGAACGTCCGGAGCGGCTCCTTCGCGCCCTGATTGATGGTGGCAACTGGCACCTCGAATCCATTGTGGGCACCTTTGGGGAGCCTCCTTTGGAACGATGCGACAATTTTATGCGACGGTGTGCCAAAACCGGGTTGGTCGAATGAATCTGAACCTTGGCTTTGGACGGGTGGGCATCTTGACCTTTGTCGCGACCTCAGACGTCACTTGGGAAAGAAATCCTTCAGTTGCAGCACACTGCTCTGTTGGCGACAGTGCTTGGATCAAGGTCGCCGCGAAGTCCCTGAACTTCAACCGGTCGCTCAGGAAAGGGTTTTGCAAAGTTTGCTTCGGACGCGCCCTTTCGGGCTGCCTTGCTCGGAGCAGTGGCTTCAAAGCTCTTCGGAAGTTTGCTCCGGATGCGCCCTTTCAGGCTGCTTTGCTCGGAGCGGTGTTGAGCCTGCCTCTGCGCGGTCACGACCTGTCTCTCACGCGCGCGTCCGCCTGGTGCACTTCAGCTCGCCTTGGAGAGGGCTCACCTCCGAATCTTCGAGCTGGGTCTCTAAGGTGATTGAGAAACTTTAGCAGGACAGACACCTGGCTGGTGGCGATGCAGCAACGGCGGCTTAGGGGGCTGTGGTGGTTTTTAACAGCCTCCCTTCCTGATGTCCTTGTTGGTGTGTTCTCACATTTGTCCTTGTCCTGCCGTGAAGTCTGACATGTGTTCTCACATCTCTTCTGGCGTGTACTTGTGACATGTGCCCTGGCGCCAGCCGGGTATGTGCTCTGGCCTGTGACATGTCGCCGGACATGTGTTCTGCAATCAAGCCCGCCACTTGTTCCGACGTATGTTCTGACATATTGTAGTTTCTGGCGTATGAGTTGCCACCCCGTCAGGCAACTACACTGACATTAAAACAGCCGACCTTTCCGGCATTCTGCTGGGCATATTCTCTGGACTTCTATCTGGTATATCACGAAAGCTAGCTGTAGCTAGCTGGAGTCTGTCTTGCTTTAGCAAGGAGGGTGGGAGCCGAGGACCTGAGTGCAGATACCTGATTTATCAGGCTTTAACCCCCCCGCGGGTTCAACTCCACCCTTCTCCGCAGTACCTGCTGCTGCTTGGTCTCTTGCTGCTTGCATGCTTGGTGCTGCTGATTGCCTTTGGCTGCTTGCTGGTTGCTGCTGACGTGTTGGGGGGGCATGAGCGAAGAGTTCGGTGGGGGAAGCGGGTGATGAAGAGTTTGGTGATGTTTGGTGGAAGCATGGCAGTAGTTGAGTTTTTCCTTTGTGCATCTTATATTAACTATACTATTGTCACGCTGCCCCAACTCGTGTCATGGTACGGTTGATGCCATTCATGCGGTTCAGGGTTGCTGCACTTGTTGCAACGCAACACTGCTGCTGCTGCTGCCTTTGCTGCTGCTTTGCTGCTGCTTTGCTGCTGCTGCTGCTGCTGCTGCTGCTGCTGCTTTGCTGCTGCTGCTGCTGCTGCTTGGCTGTTGCTGCTTGGCTGCCTGCTGCTGCTTGGCTGCTGCTGCTGCTGCTGCTGCTTGGCTGCTGCTGCTGCTGCTGCTGCTGCTGCTGCTGCTGCTGCTTGGTAGCTGCTGCTGATGCTGCTGCTTGGTGGCTCCTGCTGCTGCTGCTTGCTACTCCTACTGCTGCTTCTGCTGCTGCTTGGTAGCTTCTGCTTGCTGCCGCTGCCGCTGCTGGTTACAGTTATTGTTGTTGTGGCTGTTGCTGCTGCTACTGCTGCTGCGGCGGTTGCTGGGGTGGTTGTGTGTTGCCATGTGTTGGCTGTGTTGGGGTCGTCTTGGGGGGGCGCTGTTGGCACTCTCCTTTTCCCTTGGCCATGGCATGTTGCGATTCCCGGCCTGGCTTTTGCTGCCTAAAGAGCCCCAGCATTGTTTATTTGCCTAGCTTTCGCCGCCCCCCTTTGGGCCACAAGTCTTGTGAAGTCCAACTGGAAAATCGTCTGCAATCCTTTCTGGCACTCTGACATGTCTTTCTGACATATGCCTTGCATTTCGACGTCCTTTTGGCATGCCCGAAAGACATCCTGCCTGGCATTCTATCTGGCTTAGTTTCTGACGTTCCAACTTCATATCGCGCAGGTCCGCTCTGTAGTGTGGAGGCCCGTGCGTGCCCAGACTGACTGACCCGGCTCTCTATGGTTTGCGGATCTGGAGGGGTTGCGCATGGTTGCTCTTTTGTAACACAAAACACCCTCACCTGGCAGGTGGGGAAAACGCAGAGCCATAAAGAAAACGGAAACATGTTAAGGTCAAACCGGTCAGATAAAGAAAACCAAACAGCTTCAACACGTCCAAGCGAAGGAAAGGGTACCGTAATGACGCACTCATGGGCCTTGAAGATGCGCAGGTCGTGACTTTTGTTTTTTGTGTCACTTTGTGGTTGGCTTCGCAGGAGCTCACCAAGGGCTTCGCCAGCAAGGAACCAAAACGCCGAGCCAGTGGCATGTTTGGGGTTGGCCGTGACATCCTCTTGATTTGCCTTGCTGGCAGCATCTGCAACTATAGTTGGGAAACGTGATGTGGTCTTGCAGAAGTCGTTTGGCTGCTGCGGTTTCACGCGGGTTAGATGCAAGATTGCACTAAAAAACTGGAACATACATTTTGGAGTGTCAGCACCGCTGAAGTTCTTTTAGTGGTGGGAACTGGGTATGTAGTACTTGGGACCCGCGCAGTACCCACGCCAGTGTAGCAATGTTTCCCTCCAAATTTGTCTGTAGTACCTGGTATCTAGGTCGTATACATTGGTCGGACGCAGCTTTCAATGTGAGCGCGCAATCCAGACAGTTCGCGGCCAAGGCTGTTGCAACCTTGCCTTGGCCATCACGACGAGATGAGGTCTCTTCCACAAAATGCGATACACATAATTTCTTCATCTTCAGGAAATTTTTCTGCCATTTTTGGTTTTGGAGGCGTTTCAGAATACCCGTTGCCTTCAATGCGAAACGGCCTGAACCACAGACATGGGTCCAAGCGCCGAGTCAAAAAGAACTGTTGAAAGCCGTGAACACCTTGAACACGACTTCTTTTGCCGCTGTATTGGGAACCCAACTGCGCTGTGAGAAACGGTATGCAACTGTAACGATACTATCAACATGTAAATAGTTTGTTCAATCGGTAAATGCAGTAACTCCTTCATGGTCGCACCCGGTCTTCTGCCCACAGCACGTGAGGAGCATTTGCCAGACTCGGTTTTCTGCCGGATCTGTGGCAGTCATCGAGATGTTGCGCCCTTATGGCACCGTTAAGGGGAGGCCGTCGCTAGTCAGGGTTGGAGGCCATCGCTTTTGGTTATTTAGTTTTGTTCCTAATTATATAAGGATCAAAAAGCCAAGGGCGCCGTCAGCGCCCCTTTTTTTGAGCCACACAGATCGAAACGTATTTGTGGTCTTCATGAAAGGATCTGGAATATGCGGTTATCTATCCACACTCCCCCTATCCGCCGCGCGGACACTCAATAAAAAGCGCTTCCTCAGGGCATTCATTAGCCATCATAGAGTTCGAACTCCCCATCGCTTTCTTCAATAACTTGTTACATAGATTGCCGTTGTCCCAAGAAGACAACAGCGCGATTTGAGCTCCCAGGGCCCACAAAGCAGCCGGCAAGACAGGGCGCCAATGCAGGCTTGGTCTTCCTTGTTAGCCTCTGAGTTTTTCATCGTTCTTGGTTGCAAGCTTGAAGTCGTACAAGCTTGAGCTTTTCAGGACGAGTGGTACCAGACTCTGATGCAGGATCCTTGAACGCGAGGCAACAACCTCTAGGACAATGAAGGACGTTGTTTGAGAGTTGATTGAGTTGGTTAAGCGGTTGTGTGAACTCAAATTACGTTTATGCGACCGAGGTCACGACTCCGCCGCTTGGGAGATCAGGCATGGAACGAGTTGACGACTTTTTGTTGAAAAACATGCCAGACCCTGTGCCAACCAGCAACAGAGATGCAGGACACACTAGTCACTAGTTGACTTAAAAATTCCCTCAGTTGGTGTTTGCGCACATTGATGGTGACAAGGGTGATGATGGCGCCATGGATTTGTCAGTGAATCACTTGAACAAAATCACCGGTGAAGGCGAGCCCCCGAGAACGACAAGCAGGCGCTCAGCAATAGATAGCCAGCCATGCCGCTACGCTTCTCATGCGTCTTCGCGACCTGAAGGTGAGCCAGTCACTTTTGCCCAAAGTGCGCGTCCAATGAGGCCAGGTTTTTGTAATATGATGAAACTGAATAAGACACAGGACAGAGAAAAGAAAAAACTACAGAATGTTTCAGACTAATCCAATGACGAGTAGCAAAACGTGGCAAAACCATTGTCATTGAAATTGACTGGTGAAATTGTTTCTAGAACAGTACATACAGTATATCATATATCGTCATTGCGATTTTTCTTGGGGATGCCTTGCCATTATGTCAGGTCTGCTAGCCGAGAGGCTCTCAGTGTCAAGCTTCGGGAGGCACGCCTTCAAATTTGAGCCTGCCATCACAGTGTTTGAGGGACTGTTGAGTTTTGGGTGGCTGAATGTAACTATACATAAGCACACACGCACAAACAAAAAGCAAACGTGTTCAACACCAACAGCAATGCAGGCTTCGCTGTTGCATTCTGAATGACAACAGAAATTGTTCTTTTCTCGAGTTGTGACCTGCGCAGTTGGGACTTGAGCGCCCAGACGTGCCCGCTATTCCCTTCAGAGAGCCAGGAGGGGGTTGAAAATTAGCAGCTTGAAGGTGTTACGATTCAGGTTTTTTCTCTAGGCATGTTCATGTTTCATATTTTTACTCTTCAGACCTTACTTTCTTCCTTTCGTTTCCTCCATAGAGTCTTAACTTGTCAGTGGCTCTAATGGGCAATCATCCCTACTCTGGGAGAGATTCTTGGGTCTTTGGCTGTCGCTGTCGTTGACTTCTTGCAAGGCTTTGGGGCCAGCGTCTTGCTCAATGACCTGCCAGATCGAGCTTTGCGGCGGGACTGAGCGCATGGATTCAGCTAGGAAAGTGTTCTTTGCCGATACCAGTATGAGTACATATGAAGCGCAGAGTCGTCCTGCCCGCAGGATGGTCATTCTGCGGCCATGGCAAACCCTCGACGAGAGGTGCTATCCACTATTCGTTCTGGCGTATCATTGTAGACAGAACAAAGAGGTTCAATTTAATCCTCAGACCACATGTTTCCAAGGAGCTCCTTTTCTAAGCGCAGTGCAAGAGCAAAACTGAGCGTGTAATTGATAGCAATCCTGCTAGATGTACAGTTTGCCCAACATAGAATTCTGGCTTGCTAATGCCCACTACATTGCTATTGCGTTTGATTAAACAAATATTTATATATGATTCAATCCATTGTGATAACAGAATAAAGGGTGGTAATACAATATGTTTGAATATATTGTTAGTGCGATATTGAAGTATTAATTATTAAGAATAATATATATAGGACGAATTATGATTATATATTCATTTTATGTATTTTGTCTGATTCTGTTGAGAGGTCGATAAATTTACCATGAGCACAAATTAAGAAGTGTATATCTGACGGCCCAAGTCGTGAAACAAGAATTTCGTTTCGCATGGTCGCGGAGCGTGGCCGTATAGAGCCCGCTCCGTTGCACACGCTACGATTCGCGGTCGTAAGCGTTAGGCTGCAGGTGGGGCCCAACTTATCGCCTTCTGGTTGGTCTAGCTCCTTTTGCTCGGCTGTATTGCTGGAGCAGCCGGAGACAGTTGGACACAAGAAGTTTGTTACTACTAACCATCCTAGGTTGTGGCCTAGCATCGGAAGTGGAAGGTGAAACGCTTGCATAGCATCGAGGTGGACACAGAAAAGTGGGTGGGCAAGTTATTGTGGGCAAGAAGCACTAGTGCAGTCAGGATTTCATTGTTGGTGCGCAACAAAGTCCAGAAGAAAGGAAAAGGATCCAGGGAAAGGAAATAGTTGGTAGTCATTGTCCCGGCTAAGTGGAAGCTGCTGAAGAAGGTAGAAAACCTACGGGACCGCTCGGACAAGGACGCCATTAGTGATCTAGTGGCGAATTGGGATTTTAGGAAGTTGTTGATTTACACCAACCTGGAGATTAACGAGGAGTAGCAGGACAATGAGCCCTACTTAACAACAAACACCTACTACCCTAGGGTGGCATACATCTACGCCATGGCAGAAGAAAATTTGAAATTGATTTCAACGGCCTTTGAGAAATTGATAGTGACTCAAAGTTTAAGCTTATGGGCCAGACATTTGAAAACACCAGACTTGTTCAAGCCGGACACCCGTGACAATGAGTTGAAACAGTGGAACGACTGGAAATTTTCATTTGAGAACTATGTGAAAGGGATTGATGCACCTATGGCCTACAGCATGAAACTCGTGGAGGAGAACCTCAATGGGAACTATGAGTTGGACGAGATGACAGACGAGACTAAGGTCCAGGCTATTCGGCTCTACAGCCTCCTGATTTCCTACCTCCGCAACCGGCCTTTGAAGCTGGTGAGGCATATGAAGCAGGAAAATGGCGTCGAGGCATGGCAGCGATTCCTACGAGAGATGCAACCAGTGATAAGGGCCAGATCCCTTGCTCTTTTGACACAGCTGTCCAGGGTTTAATTTGCTGAGGGCAAGTCAATGTCCGAGCAATTGTCCGTGTACGAGTCGATTGTGACCGAGTATGAAAGGATCTCAGGGCATACCTATGGAGATGACAACAAGGTGGCATCGATCCAGAAGGGCAAGAAAGGCGGCAAGAGCAAGTCCAAGGACGGAAAGGAAAGACAAAGGGAAAGGACAAAGGAAAGATGAAGAGTGATGGTGGAAAAGGCACCTGGAAGAACGACAAGGGCAAGGTCAAGGAAAGAAAGGGAAGACGCCTGAGAAGGAAGGAAAAGCTGGCAAGCAAGTTGGAGCATGCCACAACTGTGGTAGAACGGGACATTATGCCCGTGACTGCTGGAAGCGAATCTCTCCAATTGAAGAGACGAGTGGAGGAGGAGCATCTTCGTCATCCACTGGACAGGCTGGAGCAACACCTCCTTCGACTTTAATGACGACGGCATCAATGAAGATGGTGCGCATGGCTACACCCCCAGATACTAGGAGTTTGGAAATCTTTGATCTGACAGGATCAGGGTCAGAGGATAACGAATTCCCATGGAGAATGGGAATGATTGAAGTGAACTATGAGGAGATGGAAGAGGAATTCTATGATTGCATTGAGCCTGTGGTGAACATCCCGTTGGGCGTTGCAATTGTGGCCATGGATCTTTTAGGATGAAAATGATGAGAAATTGATGCAAATGGTCGGCATTGGTTCCAATGAAGGAGACGAATGCCTGGTTATGCTAGATAGCGGTGCCGACATCTCGATATTGCCTAAATCCTATGTAGATGTGGGGCAATGGGCACCAGGCTCAATAAGTTTGAGGATGGTAGACGCAGGGAAACGTATTGCGTATAGCGGTGTGTCACTAGGGCAAGGATTAGCGCCATAGATGCTCATGGTAAAAGGATTGAGATGGTGGAGGAGTTTGTATTGGGAAACGTGTAATATCCGATTCTATGTGCAGAACGACTCCTTCGACGTAGATGGAACATAGAAGGTGAAGATGGCTAATTGGGACTGCAACATAAAGGAAGGAGCATTTATATCCCTATTAGTAGGGAGAGGAACTCCTTGCAATTTAATGCACGCATCTTTATGGTGGAGATGATTGCAAAAAATGGCAGGAGAAAGACCAGATACCCAATTCAACATTTAGAGCCTGGAAAGAAGCGTGGCCAAACCGACCCAGCAGGCATGGAAAAACGCCTGGCATGTGTGTTGTTACCTCCAAGGGTTTCGGTCGGTCATGGACGTAAGAGATGAAGAGGAGGTGGGCGAGAAGGAGAAGTACCTGGTTGAAGTGGTGATTGGCACTGATTATGTTGGTAATGAAAATAATTGCTGCAACTCCATATTATTTTAGATTTTTATTGATAGAAATTTGATGGAATTTAGGGTGCGCTCCTAAAAGGTTATTGTTCTTTCCTCAGGAGAGTCCGAGTTTGTGATTATTATGATAGGGTGCTCAGATGGACTTCTGATTCGATTCCTATGGATGGCTATGATTGGAGAGCCTTGCGATATGAAAGCCCGCTCTGATAGCTCGGTAGTCAGGGCAATGGTGCAACGATAAGGAATTGGAAGAGTGCGACATTTAGATGCAGCACTATTGGAGAAGGTCTTTAGTATAGCCATTGGGACCGAGCTTAATAGCGCCGATGCTGGAACGAAGAACCTTACAAGGAGCCGATTTTATGGTAAAGATGATTAATAACATCGGAGACCGCATTGGTCAATAGGAATTCAAAGATCTCGAATATAAGGAAAGGATGAGGAAAGTAACCAGGAAGATTATGAAGGTCAAGGATCTATATGTCGGAATGTTGATGATTTTGTTAAGGCTCGATGAAGTGGTAGGAAAGGATTCCGAGGAAGCAGCAGTAGGAACTTATGACTGGAGTTGGGTGATTTTTAGTGGGTGTTTGCGGCGCAACATTTTCGAGGATTTCTTGGTCAAGGTTGGGTGGTATATTATGGAGTACCTGAATGGCAAGCTCAGGACAAAGATTGAAGAGAAGAAGCCTGATGTAAAGGAAATGGGTAGCCAAGCCTACGAAACGGAGGGCTTGCAATCCTACATGCAGGCATATAAAGAGAAGATGTAGATCGAGTTGCAAAAGAAAGACAGCTACATCGAGGAATTGCAACGGAGCATCACGGAAGTTCGTTTGTAGCGAGACCAAGCGTTAAAAGAATTTGAGATCTCTGAAAGGTATGCAGTGAGATTGCTCAAACAAACGACGCAGTATAGGATCAATGCAAAGGAGTATAATAATCCATTTTAATACAGGATGTCCTTATTACGAGATTGCAAAGCAATATGATTTGTGTTAAAGGTGCTTGATTGGAGGCACGGTATCTGATTCTTTTGAGAGATCGATCAGTTTAGCATGAGCCCAAATTAAGAAATGTACATCTGACGCACACAGGCCCAAGTCGTGAAATAAGCGTTTCGCTTCGCATATTCTATATATAAATATTTGTAATGTTGAAAATTATAGATTTAAGATGGAATAAAGAGATTATATATATTTTTGCGATTTTTTAAAAATATAAAAATAATTTGAAGGATTATAAAAAATGCAAAAGAATAAATATATATAATGAAAATTTATAATTTGATTTTGGTGGGTTTTTAATGAGGGTAAGAGATAATTGATTTATTGAATATTTTGGTTATCGAATAATATTTCGAAATTGATTAAAATCATTTGAAGGAAAAATATTGTAAATATTTGTTTATAATCTATATATTTTATTAAAATATTAAGATTCGAATATAATGATATTTCCGTATGGAAATGAAAATAAGATTTTTGGAAGGATTTAGATATTCGACGCTATGGTCGGAATGGAGGATTTTGCGACAATTTTGCGATACGAACATAAATATTAATTAGGAATTAGAAATGCGTTAAAATATTCGATGGATTTATGTATTTTTGTTTTTATATTTATTAATTGATGTATTTGACAAAAAATATTGCAAAAATTGTAATTTTTCTACTATAAATACGGAAAATTGTGTTTTTCGATTTTTTTTTATTTTTGGCTTCTATTTTTAAAATTATTTTTCGTTTGTTATTTCCGGTCCAAAATACATTTAATTGGAAATTTTTCTGGGATTATTGATTGAGAACATATTACAATGATGAAATATCTTTTAGGGGAAATTAAAATTTGATCATAATTATAGGTTTCAGAATCCACTATATTATGGCATTTTGAAAAAAGGCCTACAATATGACAAGATAATATTAAATAGCTGTGTCCGAGCGTCGGCCTGATTCGCATGCCACGTGATCCGTGGCTCAAGCCATGACCAGCATCGGAAAACACGCGCGCACCTTGTCGCGCTTTTTCGGTCACGACCGGCAGCCAATTTCACATTGGCAGCGGAGCACGACTCCGGGGGATCTTTGGGTGGCTCAGGCCTTCACCCTTTACCCTTTTGGGGGATCTTACGTTTTTTCCACCTTTGGCCACGACGCCATGTCGATCGTGGAATGTCTGCGATGGCAGACCTTTGCGGCAGCCCAAGATGATGCTTGGAGCACCGAAGCGAAGTCTGGTGTACCACGCTATGACGGCGAGGTCAGTCGCCTGGCGGAGTACCAATTCCGCGTGAGGTTGAGGCAAGCTCGAGAAAAGGCCATGGACGAGAGCGAGGTCAAGAAACTTGGTCCACTGGCTCTGAGACTAATGGACGGACTCCGGTCCTGCTCTAT